AATGGTCAATTCTATGTTATGTGAATTGTTTTGCCTACATTATGTGTTTTGCCTCAATTTTTAAAAAAAAATGTCAATAGTGCTAAGGTTGAGAAACCATTCTAAACTTACGTACCAAAGTTATTTTCTTCTTGAATAGGTAAAAGGCAAAGAGGATTCCATCAAAGACAAAAAGCATCAAGCACTATAATGAGTTTAAAAAAAAAAAAAAAAGGCAGCCTGACCCTTAAATAGTAAGCTCATTTTTTTTCTGATGGGAAAAACTTGCCAGGAAAAAATAATGGCTGTTGTCAGCCCCAAGCAGATTTGTTTTACTGTTATAAAATTATGAAGCTAGACAAGGGTTTACGATAAATTGTTGACATCATCTGAACTGCAGAGGCATGAATATGCTACCATAATAGAGAGACTCTCAGATTTAATATAGGCCAGAAAATGAAATAATTATCTTTAAATGTGTGCCTTCATGTGAACTGTAAACCTGGGAGCTGTCAAATAAAATGAGACACTACATTACGAGACAGTCACTTTACAAGGCTTGTCAGTTTGAACACTCATTCCCTGTTTGAAAACATGGAGCCATATGCTCAGAATGAAAGTTTAGGATTGGCCTCAACTGAACAGTAGTTCAGCAGTGACTCAAAGAGCTTAGAAATTTACTGTGGTAGCTATAAACCATCTTTCCTTCCATTAAGTCTTAGTAAGTGGAGGGGACATGTTTGGGTTCTTTGAACTAAAGGAGCCAAGTACATCCAGTGACCCAAAGGAATGATGCTGTTATGTTTTAATAATAATAAAAAGAGTGTAACTGGTAGCACTGCCTCTGTTTCTCTACGGCACAATATGTTCATGTATACTAGGACATCAAGGGCATGTTACCATTAAGCATGGAAAATGAAGATGGAAACTGACTTTGCAGATTAAGAATTTATAGACCTAGGGTTACCTACTAGGCTAGGTAAAAGCTATCTCCAAAGATTAAATACTGAAAGAGGAGAAACAGAACAAAATGCTAAGGTATCTTTATATTTTTATGTTAATTATTCTTCACAAATAAGACCTGTCTGCCTGCTATCATTCAGCTATTCCAGATATTGTTTTCTACACAACAAAGCAAAATTAATCAGTTTGAAGATCATGGCTAAATATTATTCCTATTTTGTAAAAGATGAGTAGGAACATCTTGTGGTTTGCTATTATTGAGGAAACATGATGAATTTCTTCCAGAAGCTTTGTTATTAAGGTAAAGACAGTGAAATTAGCCATCACAACTGCATATTAGAGTAATAAATACCATAAATTGCTGCTACAGCACTTAAAATATGCAGTAAGTGTGTTCTGACAGAAAAAAATCAGATGGAAAATAGGTGTGATTCAAAGTCAAATTCTACTCAAACAATGTAACAAAAACAACAACCTCCAAATTTTTTAGCAAGACAACTCCCAAGAAATTGCTTTGTGGAATACTGAGACTTTTGTCATTTTATCGTGAATGTACCAGTTATTCGGGGGGGTAGGGGTAGGGGTGGGGATGAAAAGGTAGGATAAAGTTTTACTTTCCATCTGAAGATGATTACTGATAAATACTCTCTAGTATTATGCACATAATATTCGGTAAGCCTATATATACATATTTGCAAAATCCTTACATTCTCTTCTTTGTGAAAATGTTAATTCTCTACTAAAATCTTACACATAATTTTATTTATACATGCTATTGTTTTTTTGTAACAGCATCTCCCCTTGTTGTCTACATGCTATTCTAGTATTCCACGCTGTATTTTATTCTTTGTGTTATGAAGAACCACAAATATAAAAAACCTATCAATTAAGAAGGGTGACTTTCACCACAGAAGGGGTGTCTTAGGCCCCTTACTTTGGGCACCTCTCACTGTGGGCTGTGTACAGCAAGCTTCTGAGTTGAATTATCTTGTTATCTAGCTTGGTGACTGCCAATTACTGCTGCTGCCTTTGAATTACTGCAGCCATGGACCACCGCTGCTCAGAGGATTTTTTTTTTTTTTTTTGCAGTACGCGGGCCTCTCACTGTTGTGGCCTCTCCCGTTGCGGAGCACAGGCTCAGCGGCCATGGCTCATGGGCCCAGCCGCCCCGCGGCAGGTGGAATCTTCCCAGACTGGGGCACGAACCCGTGTCCCCTGCATTGGCAGGCAGACTCTCAACCACTGCGCCACCAGGGAAGCCCTGCTCAGAGGATTTTGATATTTGAGGCACTCTACTATCTGACACACGTGTTTTAGCTGTTACCATAAATGTTGATGAACACTGAGCCATTTCTCTTTTCCTATCTGCCCACTCCCCCATGCTGTGAGAAACATGCATATCATCGTAGTTCTAAGAAAATATTTTCTTCCATACCTTTCACAGCATCAGATAGCTCCTAAGTTTTTAATCAACTTTATACACTGCTGATGACTAGGGTGCTCAGAATACAATTTGTTGGAAGAAAATAAAAACTGGATATGACATAAGGAGACCTAGGTTTGTCTTCTGACTCTTCATTTATAAACTGTGGCCTTTAGATAAGACTTTCTCTCATGACCCTCAGTTTTATAATACATAAAATGAAGATAATAATCCCTATTTACATTATAGGGTTCTCTTACAACTCAAATAAGATAATGAAGGAGAAATATGTACAAGTTATGAAATGCTCTACAGATACTTGTTAATATCAAAATAATATATTCATAAAAGTCCTAAATACTAAATTCTAGCTAAATACTAAATCCCTATATAGTAAATGGGATTTCAATGCCACAAAGGACACAATTTGTAAGAATGTTTATGAATTTTTTCATATCACATAAATAAAAGAATGATTCCTCTAACATATTTATAATTTCTTCATCCAGTAGCAAAGAATACTAAAAGAAATTCACCTCAATTTCATCTATACTGTATGGTTTCCCAGCTGTGCTGTTTTCATGGTTCCTTAATTAATGAGGCTAGTGCCATGCCTCTGTGATATTTTCCTCTGCTGTCCCTTTGTATGACACATTGAGCTATGTTTGTGAGAATCTTTGCCAAATCCACTAAAAACTCCATTGTACAATGCCAGAAAAGGAAAAAAAGAGCCCACAGAAGCACCTTTTTTTCACTAAGCATCCTTTTTTTCAGCAATTAACAAGTATAATCAGACAAACTAAGTAAAGCCTAGAGTGTAAAGGACAGATTCTTTGAGATTCAGGATTTTAAGGATATTTTTAAAGTGCTTAACACAGTCAAAATGCTGCTATTACACACTTCCATGTGTTTGTAAAAGTAGTATTCCTTTTGAAGCACTTCCCTAATCTCATCTCCAGCTTGGAAACATGCCCATCTTTGCAGATCACAGTACCATGCCCTGTCCTTTAGCAAGAACTCTATTAATTACCTGACCATTTAAACAAATACTTGGTGGGGTGCCTTTTAAAGCAAGCACCGAATGATCTCCCTGCTAATAACCTGATGACCATTCTGAAAAGGAAGAATGAAAACAAAAAGTAATGTGTTGCCCTGTCTCATTGCAGCTTTCTTCGCCATATGGCCATGATGAAATCCAATCATCACAACATTCTCCAAATTCACTTGAAGCTTGGAGAAAGTGAGGATCAAACAATGATGAGTCACTCTGGAAGGTTCTGTTGACAGCTGACTTGGAGTTAGGACGTGGTATGGATTAGTCCCAGAATTTTGACCAGTTTTTTTTATTTAGTCATTTTTTAAAAATTTCTAAACTATCAGAGATTGGTATCTTTTGTGAAGGTTGGGAAAGAACCAGAATACCCAGGGAAGCACTGGAGAAAACACACAAAAGCTGGCACATCAAGGTTCAGGAGGATATTTTCTATCTATAATCCTTGGGGCTGCCTACCAGGGCCCATATTGACATGGGGTGAGAAAGATGCCTAGAGCATAAACAGAAAGAAACACTCTCTGTCAGTTGCACAACCCTAGTCCCAGCCCTGCTGCCTACAGAGGCATCTGATCAAATAACTTCATTTTAACTACTGAAAGACATAACCAATGAAGATATACTTACACAGTAAGGACAGCAACGAGCACATCACTGCACTCTTCCATTATACTTCAGAGTTCTCAACACGCTTTCATATATATTATCACATTATGACAAGCACAATCTCCTGAGGCTAATAGTGCAGAATGTTTTTAATCCTACCTCAGAGGTGAACAAACAAGTTTAGGGGAACAGTAGGATTTGATCAAGATAGTAGAGGTAGAACTTGAATTCAGGTCTTTGACCTATGTCCAGTACTCTTCTCATTATACTTCCCCAATACCAAGTCTTCCTCTGAGGTCCTTTAGAGCATCAGATTTTTATGGTCTACATTGATTAGAATTATTTATGAAGTCACTGCAGTGGCTGGTTATCAACAACTTAAGAAAGAAATGACCTTAAATTTGTCTATTGTTCACTGCCCATATAATAGCCTTATGAGAAAGGAAAAATAAAAAGAATTCATCTAATGCTTCTTAATGCCAGGCTTAAACATTTTAGGGGCAACCAAAGCCATTTATAAGTCAACCTCACAGATGAATTTTTTACTATTATCATTGGTTGCATAGTACAATCATATTTTTGTTTATGTTATTATCAGCAAGGCTCAGAAACCATTAGCAGCATATGGGTTACTTTGCTAAGAGTTGTAAAGAAGCTGGGATTAGGGCAGGTTTATATAATATCAAGTTTGAGCCTTCTCTCCCTGTACTGGAAGATGTCCAGAAAAGAGCAGGGGAAACAAAAGACCCTTTCCAGTGAGCAACATGTGATCTGTTGGTCTTTTTCTGCACAGCCCTGCTTCAAACGAAACCTTTCTAACACTAACAAGAAATATGATTTAGGTGTCCACAAAAACAAACAAACAAACAAACAAACAAAAAACCCAAATACAAGCTTTGAGTTGCAAATCTAATTTCCTGGATATAGTGGATTAATGTGGAGAGAACCTAAGTTATTTAAAAGTAAAGAGAAACTTACTTCTCCCCATGTTTTCTTGTGGTCTTTGGTAGGTCCTTGGATGATGATTCCCTGTAAAAAACACAGCATACACACACAGTCAGATTCAAGTTCCATTAAAACTTATGTTGTCAACATGAGCATTTCATTCCAGTGCATTCCAATCTTGTCCCCTTACCTAAATAAAACAGATATTTAACCTCAGAGGACAGAAACACAGTATTCTGGAAGCACGGGCTCTACATCAGCTTACTATGACCTTGTTTATCTGGCATTAGTTTCTGCCCTTGCCAAACAAAAGTCATCAAATTGGTCACATAGTTTATCTCTTAGGAAGGCAGTGATATCAATAAAAAATGGTGGACAAAAATGCCAAAAGGCCCAATTTTAATAACAAGGCTAGCATGTTACTAGTTTGCCTATCCCTGGTTTCTCTTCAATGTCACTCTGTGACAAATCCAATACCATTCATAGTGTAACATTTTCCTGAATGGTGCCAAACAGCAGCACCTCTAATCAAATTATCCCTGCAGCAAAGCAGCCCACAGAGTTACTACCAATAAAGAGTATGAATTAATAACTATGAGCTACTGACAACAGAAACTCTGGAGGAAAAAAATACATATTGCAAATGCAGGTGTGCATGGAGGAGCAGCAATTTATACTATAATGCTTTATTTTCTCACAGGGTTTAATCACAGAACTACCACACATCTACTGTTCACCTGCCACATTCCCCGTATGGAGCTAAGCACCAGAGAGGCAAAATTATAAGACATAATTTATCACTACGTTAAGGAATATATAATCTACTTGAAGTCAAGCATAAAGAGGAGAGCGATGTCATCAAGATGGTCACATAGATCATTCCCAACTTCAGTCCCCCTCACAAGAAGACCACCTAGCAACTATGCATAGAAAAGACTCCATTGTGAAGATGTTAGAACCTGAGGGTAAGGCTGAAGCACACTGCTGGACAACAGAGAATGAGAAGGAGCGCATTAGAAGGGTGAGAGGACTGGATATACCCTGACCACATCACCCTCCTCCCTGTGGGGAGAAGTGGGAATATGGATTCCATAATGGGAAAAGAGAGCCCGAGGTGGACAACCAGCATATGGGACACTTCCAGGAGGCCCACTCAGGTCTTGCCTCATGGAGATCATCAGAGGAATCTGCTGGGCTTGACTACTTGGGGATCAGAGAGAGATGGAGAAGGGGGGCGGGGCTTACAGCAAACAGTGCTCAGGCTCTGGCAAACAGCATTCCCG